CCCAGCACCAGCTGGGCAAGTAGGTATGGCATTTGCTCAATTCACTGGGTGAAGCAAGTTTTTCTTTTTCTTCTCATCTTCAGATGAAGACACTGAAGCAGTGACTTTCTCAGTCTCAGAGAGTTAATAATTGGCAGGGTCTGCCTTCAAACCTGGGAGCTACTTCCAAATTCCAAGCTTGCTCCATCTGCCTAGTTCCAATCATTTCAGGGCTGCTGCTGAACCAAGAATATCCTCAACATTTGTTTTCCCTAAGTCCTTAAATTGTAAAAAAAAAAAAAAAAAGTCAGAGTCTCATTCTGTCGCCCAGCCTGGAGTGCAGTGGCACATTCACAGCCACTGCAGCCTCGACTTGCTGGGCTCAGATGATCTTTCCACTTCAGCCTTCCAAGTAGCTGGAACTACAGGCACAAGCCATCACGCCTGGCAATTTTTTAAATTTATTGTAGAGACGAGGTCTTATGTTGCCCAGGCTGGTCTGGAACCCTTGGGCTCCACAATCCTCTCACCTCCGCATCCCAAAGTGCTGGGATTATAGGCATGAGCCACCACGCCCAGCTTACCAGCCAAGTTTCTATACAGTGTCTCTGCAAGGAACACTTAGTGACCTGAAGGGTAATGGGGCAGGTGGCCTCTGCTCTCTGTGAGCTGATGGGACACAACAGGGAGCTGAGTGGCAGGGTGGGATGGAATGGCTAGGGAGGACTCCAGGTCAGGGCATAAGAGGAGAAACCTGGGAGGAAGGGGAGGAAGAGCATGCACTTCACTTCCCTGTGGGGGGTGAGTCAGGGGAGCATCAGAGACAACTCAGCCTCAGGGCCCCAGACCTCATGTGCAGAACTGTGCAACTCCCTTGGCATCACTCCTGAGAGTGTGTCAGACTAGAAGGGGCCCCCAGTGACACTGTGTAAAGCCAGGGCTGGGGTAATGTCTGTTCGTGCCTCCCCAACAAGATGCTACACTACCTACCCTTTCACATCGCAGGTTCATGCCTCTCGGTCTTTGTAACCCAAATCCTACCCTCTGAATTCCAGACCTAACTCAAGAGGCATGTTCTCTGTGAGGCCTGGTCCTGCTGCCCTCAGCTAAAGGCAGCCCAGAGAGTGCATTGCACTTTTCTCAGGACACTTCAGAAGGGCCAGTAGCCATAGAGCCTCCCAACTAAAACCTGGGTTCATTTCAGACTGACTTAGACTGCAGCAAGCTGTTCTTACCTCCCAAGAGCCAAGAAAGCAGGATGCTTGCTGGTGACTAGCCTCAAGAGGTCACCCCTCCAGTGGAGTGGAAGTTACTCCTTTCTCCCCAGAGGCAAAGGCAGCTGCAGCGGGGCTGTGGCCTAGGAGCCCTGGGGAGTCTGCTCCCAATCCATCGGCTTCCTGCGTGGGAGTTACCTTCCAGATGTGGGGTACTGGTAAGGAGAAAGATCCCCCTTTCTGGGACAAACACAGCCCCTGCTGTATCCTGCTCTTCCTGCCCTGCAGTCTAAGGTTGAGTCCAAGGTTCTGATCTGCCTTCCTAAATAACCTAAGCAAGCCCTTTGCCCTAAAATCTGCTAAAGTCTGTTTTGCTTTGGGGGCTATAAATGCAGATGCAACTCCTTGCTAAGCCTAGGCTTCCTGGCAACCGAGGGAGTGACCGAGCACCAGGCCCTGCCAGGTAAGGGATGGCTAGAGAAGTCCATGTGCCCAAAGTCTCCAGAGGGACAGCCCCAGAAGCCAAGCTCCTGAAAACCAGGCCAGACCTGCTGCACAACACTCCAGTGCCTCAAGAGGGGCCAGATTAGAGAAAAGTGGAAGAACATGATGAGCTACAGCTGAATTCAACCCAGTGTTGGTTCCTGACACGTGGAGAGATACAAGACAGCGCCCTGCACTTGCCCAGCTCAATGGGCTCAGGACAGAGCCTTAGAGCAGGTCTTGAACTCCACCATAAACGACATATTACGGACCGGGCAGTGAGCAAGGCCATGACACGGGGCCTGGAGTCGGAAGGCCTCTTTTATCCAGAGCTAGGAACCTTTGTTCTCTTTTTCACCTGTTTTCATTAAGAAATATCTCAGGTACACAGAAAAGGTCAGAGTGACACAGCACATGTACTCACCTCCCCACAGAGTCAACAACAGCAACATTTGCCATACCTGAGAGAGATCTGCCCCCCTTTTTTCTTAAATACAATCACACACCCTAGACTAGCCAATCTTTTAGGCTGGACACTCCAACCTTTTTGGCATCAGGGACTGGTTTTGTGGAAGACAATTTTCCCATAGATCGGGGTCAGAGGGAATGTGCAGTCAAACCTCACCACCCACTAATGCTAATCTGCATTTGCACCTGCTTCCTGGCAGTAGCATCACTGCCTCAGCTCTACTTCAGATCACCAGGCATTAGACTCTCATAAGGAGCATGCAACCTTGATCCCTTGCATGTGCAGTTCACAATAGATTTCACACTCCTATGAGAATCTAATGCTGCCACTGATCCGACAGGAGGCAGAGCCCAGCCGGTAACGTGAGCAATAGGAGCGGCTGTAAATACAGATGAAGCTTACTGCCATTCACCTCCTGCTGTGCAGCCCAGTTCCACAACATGCCAGACTGGTACTGGTCTGTGGTCGGGGGCTGAGGACCCCTGCCCTTGACAGAGCCTCTCCTTAATCCTGTTTCCTCCCTGCTTCCCCAGGCATGAATCTGAGGCATCACCACGAGGCATGTTTATGCTTCTACTTTCGCTTTCTTCAGCACACCTGACATCTCATCACACACCTGCTTCCTTATTCACAGCCTGTCTTCCCCAGAGAATGTCAGCTCCATGAGGGCAGGCACTGTACTATGGTCACTGCTGCCTCCCAGAGGCCTAGAATGGTGCCCTTTACAGAGTAGACCACCAATAAAGTCAATACTTGCTGAATGAATAGCACACATATAATATCTTAGGTGTTTCTGAATTTGATATAAATGATCTTGCCCTGTATGCCTCAATTCTGAAATCTGCTTTTTCCTTCACTCAACAACATGTTTGAGATTCAGTCACATGGTTCAACAGTCAAGTCTCCTACTGTATAAGCCACCCACCTGCTAACCAGTGACCCTTCTTTTTCTTTTCTTTTTTTGGTGAATTGGGGTTTCACTCTGTCACCCAGACTAGAGTGCAGTGGCACAATTATGGCTCACCAACCACCTGGGCTCAGGCGATCCTTCCATCTCAGCCTCCCAAGTAGCTGGGACTACACCACCATATCTGGCTATTTTTTTTTTTTAATTTTTTCTGTAGAGACAAGGTCTTGCTATGTTGCCCAGGCTAGTCTCAAACTCCTGGGCTCAAGTGATTCTCTCACCTCAGCCCCCCAGTGTGCTGGGATTACAGACATGAGTCACCACATTCAGCCAACCTTTCTTTTTCATCAAGGAGGAGGAGGATCAGAGAAGAGACCACCCAGAAACTGGAACCCAAGGCTCTAGTCAGCAACTGAGAATCTAAGAACAAACCAGAGAAAGATAAAAGGGCCTCTAAGGAGTTACCACAGAATGGGGGAAACTGTGCAGGCACCTACCCCTAAAATCATACAAGTCTGAGGTCACCTGGCAAAGGAGCAACTGACCGGCTTTCATCATCCCATCACCAGCCAGAGACCCTCAGGTGCTGGGGGCTCTGGTGCAACAAGAAAGCATGGAACCCAGTGCTAGGGAACCTACTCTACCAATGAGCATCAAAGCCTCTTAGCATAGAGCTGGTACCATGTCAAAGCCTGAGTATGGGCAAGGACCCTGCAGGGCTGCGGTGAGAATGGTATGAAAGCACTTTGTAAATGGTGTTTGAGATCAGTTCCTAGTTACAAAGGCAGAGATGGGGGCAGCATGTGGGGAGGTTCCACTCACACTGGTAAAGGAGAAAAGGCTGGGGCACTAGGAGGGCCTGCTCTGGTACGCCTGCTCACCTCCCCTAGAGAGCGCACACACACACACACATACACCCCCGCCCCTCCTCAAAGCAGATCCCAGTGCATCAAGAGTCACACCTCCAGTTGGCAGGTGTCTGTACAGGCCCTGCACCTGAAGGAAAGCAGCCCAGGGCAAAGAAAATCAAGGTCACCTGTCCATAAGGACACCCCCCCCCAGGCAGAGCACCCTAGCTCAGAGCTAGACATGGGAGGGAGGGCATGAGACCTCTGGAACTGCTAGCAGCGGAATGCTGGTCAGACACCAGGGCTCTCCCCATCCACAAGGGTCAGCTGCACAGCTCCTGCCCACACACACACTCATTCCTGCAAACCACTTTGAGGCAAAGCAGCATCTGAAGCCCTGTGGAGGCTGCAGCCCTCAAGACTGGGGGGAAGACCCATGCCTGCAATCACGAGGGAAGGAACCCAAGCCCCTCACATGTGCTGTCCTTAGGCAACTAAAGTTGACTCAGCCAGATGACAGTATTTGGGGAGATAAGATAAATACTGTAAATGAATTGCTGAGGAAAGTGAAGCCAGGGGATGGGAGGAACACAGACAAAGAAAAAGAAGAGGTGGCCAGTGAGCCAAGCTCGACATGAAGACCCAGAATTCCAAGGTGAAGAGACAAAAAGGACCTCCAGGCTGAGGGACAGCAAGAACAGGTAGATGCATGAACCGCTGGGCAGGAAATGCTGAGTGGGCAGGGGTGGCTAAAGGGAAAGCAGAGGAGGCTGGATGAGCCAGACGGCCCAGGCAGCGCTTTACACACCAGGTAGAGAAGGGAGACCTGCCCTAGCAGGCGACGTAGAAGCACTCCACCAAGGTGTGTGACAAGAGTGAAAAGGCACAAGGTGAGGGCCAGACAGAAAATGCTGGAGGCAAAGTAAGAGCCACGTGGTAACTGGGGAAAGGAGGCAGAGAAGGCCCCAACAGACCACACGGTTGAGATTTTCAGGTCTGAACAAGACAGCCATGGTGGAAGGGCAGAATCTCTGACCCCAGAGACCTAGAGACTGACGGGAGTTGGGAGGAGCAGGGCCGCAAATCGCATAAGGAGTTACCTATGCTTCTCGCCTTCTTCTTCCTCTTCTCGGAGCTGCTTGGGCTTTGGCTCTCCATCTTCCTTGTCCTGCAAAAAAAGGGAGGAAACCACCTGCTGAGTTGAACACTCCTGTGTCAAGCCCACATTGCCTACAGAGCTAATAAAGAACAGGACATCTCAGGTGCCAGACACTCAGGCAAGAACCAGCTTGGTGTACCAGTCTCTAAGCAGTGCACATGCCTGCTGCAATTGACAGGCACAACTCTGCTGCCTCACTGCCCTGCAGACCCCAGCCCAGTCCTGGGTATGTGGTGGCCCTCAGAGAACACTGGCAGGCAGAGTTGGAAGGTTTTAGGAGGTGAGAAATGGAGCCAGTTAATGTCACTGAGGGCCATGCTAGCAGGCCACTAGCCACCCTCATGGGTCTGGATACAACCATCTGCTGAGCTGGAAGACTAGGGAAAGAACACTCACCAGCAACCAGGACAGGACAAGAGCCTCCTGACTTCCCTCCCAGACCAGGGGCCTCTCCAGAAGTATTTATTTGGCTCCCTTTAGATTAGAATAAACCAGCTAGGGGGTAGAGGCTGCAGTGAGCCAAGATCTGAACAAGATCATACCAGTGTGCTCCAGCCTGGGCAGCTGAGTAAGACCCTGTCTCTCTCTTTTTTTTTTGAGTTGGAGTCTCACTCTGTCGCCCAGAC